CAAAAGTCACTCTCCTAGCCGACCCACTTGACTTTTATTCATAAAACTTGAGTTACAAGAAAGACAATTTTGTCCCTCATAGAAGATGGGACACAACTTAAACTCAGATACAATAGACATTTCACTTTCAATAAGATACATCAGAATGACCAAAATACCCCTGACTCGAGCATTCTAACAGCACCCAAATGCAACTATCAAGGGAGGGGGGATCCAAACAAACAGGTTCAAGAGTTCTAAGGGGCAAGGCAACCTGGTCAAGCTCAAAATCTCTCAAGTTTCTTCTAAAGCCCAAGTTCCAGTTAAGACCGGAGGAAGAAGAAAATGATGCAAACTTCTGAATTGGCTCATTTTTAAAACATGAGAGGGCATACAAGGAAGGGAAAAGGTCCTTGAGGGTCAAGTTACCAACCCAAATATCCTTCCAAAACAAAACCTTATTTCCAATACAACATCATACTTGATCAGGCTCAAGAAGAGAGGAAGAATAAGGTCCTTGAGGGTCAAGTTACCAACCCAAATATCCTTCCAAAACAAAACCTTATTTCCAATACAAGCATCATACTTGATCAGGCTCAAGAAGAGAGGAAGAATACTATGAATAGCCTTCCAAGGGGAGTTCAATGTAGCATGCCGAGATACACCAACATCCCAACCATTACCTGCTGCCCCACAAATACTTCTCACAAGTCACAACCTTGTGCCAAAGTCTTTCCCTCTCCAGAGGCCATCTCCACAACCATTTGCCCAACAAAGCTATGTTCTTCCCTTAAATTGCCTAAACCCAAACCCCCCTTGTCCTTCCTCCTGCAAACTTGTTCCCACCTTATTACATGATCCTTCCTTCCTTCCCAAGGTTCCCACAAGAAATCCCTCATAATTTTCTCTATCTTTAGAACCTCCCCTTGGGGCATCCTAAAGATCAAGAGGAAGTAAACTGGAAGACTTGCTAGAGCAGCCTTTATTAAAGTAATACAACCCCCAAGAGAGATGCAATTTCTCTTCCAAGCTACTAACTTCTTTGTACACCTTTCTACCACCGGATTCCAAAATCTTCTACCCGGTTCAGCTCCTCTTTCTCCAAATTTAGCCCCACTACACAACTCTTTTCAAACTTAATCTTCAACTTCGAAATACATTCAAATAGCTTGATCACTCGTTTCAGGTTTCTTGCTTTCTGTGGATCTCCAAATTCACAAAAAATGATCATGTCATCCACAAACTGCAAATGTGCAACCATTGTACCCTCTCTACCTACCCTCCAACCTCTAATCAAACCCAAGCTATCAACTTTCAAGATAAGCATACTAAAGACATCTGCTATAAAAGTGAAGAGGAGGGGAGAGATGGGATCCCCTTGTCTCAAACCTCTAAAGGCCGGAAAGAAATCCCTCACAACTCCATTAACTATAACCAAATAATGCCAGGTTTTCAAGCAACCTTCTATCCAACCACACCACCTCTCTCCAAACCCATTAACTATAACCAAATAATTGTGTAACATTCTTTCCTAACACCATGTTTTCTAGGATCTACTTAGGGACAATTGGAAGTGGTCATGAAACAAATGGGGTATATTTTTTAAAAGCTACAAATGAACGCCTGGCGTCATGTCAGAATAGTAGTAATAGTCCAAGTCTTACTTTGTCTTCTTATAAAAGGTTTCTAATAATGTGTTGGCACAATAGATTTAGTCATTTGTCTTTTGTGTCTCTTAAAGCTTTATTTCCTATGTCTTTAGTGCTTGGCATACTTGTGAATATCTCATTTTTTCTACCAATCAATTAAATCTGCTTGATCTGTAAGCAATACAAAAAATCATTTATAAAAAATTTGGGGAATAACTTCTATTCCTCAAAACATAGGGAGTGAAGAAAGAGATAAAAGGAATTACTTGCACGATAAGGATTTAAAGTCCTCAATTGAATAGATTGATACGACTTGAGATTGCAAAACATGTGCACTCCAGATATTACAGGGAAAGCAGCAATAGCTAGCAATGTGGAGGATCCAACACAGTTTGCTAATCCTATACCAAGCATGATACCAATAGACTTGCTCACCATTCCTTGAGCTTCACCTTTTGCAATCACCTGACATAGAAAATTCCTTTAGGAGTGTAAAGGCTTAACTTTACAAAGCTAAAAGAGCAATGAAATTGAATTGAAATTGAAATTAACCATAAAAAGTGCATTAGTTTCCATGCCATGTCCAAGAGGCCCTTGTGCCTCCTATGGCATGGAAACAATCACCTTCAACAACTCTTAAAAGTTAGAACTTACAATAGCTAAATGGACTCAAGCTTTACCTCAGCAAAATTCCTTTGAGCAGCAAAGCCTGCATAGAAACAACTCCTGGTTGCAGCCTGCAAAAAATCATGATTTTCAAATTTTAGGTTATAGGATAATGATATGCACTGGCAGGGGTGAAATTAATAATCACATTTTTGTGGCATAATTAAGAATGCTGCAAACAGCCTCTTAGAATCATAAAAGTAAAGTTAACCATAGGAAAGCGGTCCTATAAATGGTTATACATGTAGAGAAATCAAATCTGATGATTCATGGTAATAGAACAGTATTTAGGGTGTGCAGCATAGGATCATTCACATGTATCTTTATGTAAATATTACTTCTCTGTTTTCCTGTTTAGCCCCCTCAGGGGTCTTTTAACAACTGTACATTATTATAAGAGTACAAATAAGAATAATATAGAGGCTTCCCAGAGCTAGGAGTCATTTGATAATGGCTGAAGTGGCTAAACGTAATGACTTACCACTTTGTCCTTTAGTGAATAAAATAATTAGATATAAAAATATTTAAGGATATAGTATTCAGCCTAACTTCAGCTACAGCCATTAAGGTGTCCACAACATCCTCAGTTTCTTTACTGTTCTACATCTAAAGCCATTGAGTGCATGAACTTGACATCATATCAGAGCCATGGTCAAAGGAGTTGATTTTTCAAAAGCTCTGCAGTGCTCAAGTGTGTGTAGAGGCTGGTTTAACCAGGTTTACTCGTCAGAAGAAGGAAATAAAAAAATTTCTGTTGTTGATATTTTTTTAGATGGCTTCAGATAAATCAGAAAGTCTTTCTAATTCCCTTCTATTATCAATATGTTTCTAAATTGAGCTAGTTTTTCTCTTTTCAGGTTTTCCCACCTAATTCTTGGACACCTATTTTCTTTCCCATTTCTCTTCCATTTCCGAATGCACACATCTGCCACCACTAGTCTATGTTGTGTTGTTAAGCTTTCTCAGGATAACTTTGCAATCTTTACACATCATTCATTCTATTCCGCTCATAAGAAAAAAAAAAAAAAATCTATTTGGCTTATGTCTGACCCACTTTTAAATGGTATTAACTATTAAGTGTTCATCATTCTTTTAAAAAAATGTGTTTATAATTGCCATATCATAAGCTACTACAAAATCTAATATTGTACCTCCTAATTCATTCCTCTCCCCAAACCCAAATCCTCCATGCATCATATCATTTCCTACATGCCCATTTAAGTCTCCTCCTATAAAAATCTTCTCTACATTTGCAATCTTTTAATGTTTTCTTCAAGACCCACTTGAGGCGCATAAGCACTAATTATGTTATGATTTCCTCACCTAAAACATGTTTAATTAAAATATTCCATCCCCAAATATTTTAATACTTATAATTCCATTTTTTAAATCCTTATCTACTATTAACACTACACAATTTCTACTATTTACCTCTCTTATGTACCCTAATTTGTAGCCATCAACTTCTTTGGCTTTTTACCCTTCCATTTAGTTTCTTCTAGGAATGCAAAATCAACCCTTCTCCTCTTCATAATGTCAACCAAGTGGCTAAGCGAAGTTATGTTTCTTGGACTAGGTTCTTTACCTGCCCCCATCCAAAAGAATGTAGGAACCCTTGCCTATTTGACATTACAACTAGGTGTTGCCATAGTGAGTCACGTACAGGGACCATCCTAGCAAACCCTTGCCCGCTTAACACTACTCAGGTTAGAGTGCAGCACATTGTTTTTGGAAAACGCCCTAATATGAACATGGAAAAACAAATCAAGATCCATATCGTGAGAGTGTGGCAAAAGTTTTAGTACCAGCTGCCAACTTGACGCACCCTCCTCCTTTACCCAGGCTTAGAACCGGCAGTGGAGTAAGACAAGCTCAGCCCATTCTCTCTAATTCTTCTTCCTTTCCTCTCTCTTCTTTTCTCAGATTTCTTGCATCAAATACAAAGAGCTACTTGGATCCCCCTAGCCCAAATGTTTAAACTTTTAATGGTCAGAGCCTTTCAAGGAATAGCTGACACCAATACACTCCATGTGGTTAACCCCTTCTCCGAAGGAACCCATTTACCTCTGATTCATTGGCAATATGAGTTCTGTATATGGTCCAGAGACAACTATATTTTTATATCATTAATAGAACTTAGGAGTCCACCATGTTAGCATAGTTTACGGTGCCAAGGAGTATTTATTAGATGAAAGATAATATTATTTAGCATAAACAAAAATTTAATTAGAAAAATTTTAATCTGAGAAGCATCAGTAGTTACTGATGAAACAATAATGTTTGTGATCAAAGACAACACTATGAAAACAGTAACAAATTGAGCCAGAAAGATGACCACTACCTAGGGATAGGTGATTAAAAATACAGTTTCCAAGCGCCAAGTACCTGAATCAAAGCAGCAGCTGAACGACCAGCTCCAGCAACTGCACCTATTAAAACAAAGAGATGAGGAAATGCAGGAGTTAATAACTCCATCCCAAAAGCAGCATTTTCCAGAAGATCTGCAAATAACCTCCATCCCTTAGGGTGCACATCAAAATGGCGGCCATACTTTGACAACATAATTTTGCTGAGGTACCCAATTCCATCCTTAAGCACCCAGTTAACAGCAGCTGCAGTTGGAATAGCACCTTTTCCCAACCCAACAGCATAAAGTAATGCCTATACAACAGAAGATACAGCAGCATGTGTTACAGAAATTAAACGCTTGAATGATAAAAACTCATTTTCTTTACAGGTCATATCCCAGGAATAACCTGTGTGAATAACAGCCTACCACCATGCGTTCCCAACATGGAAATGTTAATGCTGGAGCAAGCAACTCCAGGAATGAAAAAGAAATAGATAAGGAGGATATATATCAAATACCTGGGTGGCAAGGACGCCACTGATTTGACTAGCGATACCTTGGACCCCTCTCCAGAGAGAATACTCCAAATAATCGCTGCTAACGCTCTGGGGATATCCCTCCGGAAGCATTAACTGAAGGAAAAGATCCCTGCACTGCATCCACAACTTGGGTCCAAGAGACAAGGACGACTTGGGGTCACCGAGTTGCGTGGACGGAGACGTGGATGACGATGTTCCAGACACGACAAAGGAATCCTTTGAAGGATCGGAATCAGGGACGAGCCTCGTCCACTTGCCACCTCTTATTTCCCAGACGACCTCTGGAGAAGCTCTTGCAAATGCAAATGAACCCAATTGGAAGTACCAGAAGGAACCCAACGCTGTCAGAAGAAAGAGGAATATCTCCCTTTGAATCGAAGCCAAACTCATTCTGTCGCTCTGGCGGTCCAGCACACGGGAGCAGAAAAGGTATAAGGGAGCGAAAGAGGACCAATCCCACCATCCATCAAAATTGAAAAAGTTCCACCCATGACCGTTGTTGTTGTTGCTGCTGCCGCCACCACCACCGGTGCCATCGCCGCCTAGTTGAGGCAGCGCCAGAAGGAGAAAACGATATACAAAGGAGTCTGTGTTGGTGGTGGGAGTGGAGAAAAATCGTGCAGTAATGGTTGTGGGCGTCCAAACTCCATGGAAAAGAAATTTGGACTCGGATTCCTTAGGGGGAAGTGAAGGAGGTTGGAGGGGTAAATTCAGAGAGAGTCGACAGATAGAAGAACCTCTTATTCTTGGTACCGGTAAGAGTGCTTTGCCATTTCCATAGCAGTAGCAGCAGCGAGAGTTCTGAGATGGCGCGCAAGTAAAAGAGATAGTAACAGTTGTACCAGCAAATCCCCCACTCCAAATGGAGAACGACCAAGGGGCCATACCTCTCTGTTCTCTCTCTCTCCAAGTGTTTCTCCTGCTCCATTACCTCGCCATTTATTTTATTTAAGGCTGCGTTTGATTTCAATGTAAAGGCAAATATGTACATATTTACCTTTTTTTTTTTCATGAATGCAAATATGTGTTTAAAACGTTTTTACACTCATCTTGTTTTTTGGAATGGTGGAAAGTGTGGGTCTATCATTAAATGCTCCAATTATCTTATAATCCAATATTTAACTTTGGTAAAAAAATTAATTATAAAAAATATAAAATTATATTATATTAATGCTCTTTTGTAAAATTGTCAAACAATACATTTTTTATCTGATAATTATTACTTTTTAACATATTATATAAAAACTCGCAAACGTGAATCGAGGTACATAAATACCCTGATTAGTGTTTATATCGCAAACAAATAAAGCCTTAGGGAAAATTCCATTTTATATCCTGAATTTTAAGTTAGTACCCAAAATTTCAAATATGTCAATGTTGTATCTAAATTTTCAAAAAGTGTTAAATTGGTCTGCAAATTTTGATTAATTGACAGTCGGTTATCTATTGAAAATGTCAAAACTACCTTAAAAAAAAGACTACCCTCTGATTCTCCAAGTTGAGAAGATGGAAGGATCAATGACTATGGTTCAGTCAGACCTCCGATTGGCACTACAAATTGCCTCCAATTTTCGTTACCTTAACCCGATTCCCTTGAGCTCGAAGCCTAAGTCCCGCATTTCCATGTACGAAGGAAATGCAACTCATGTGGAGTCGTTGAGGTTGAGATTAGGGCTAAGGGTAAAGGCTTTCTCTTTTGTTGGAAATAGGGTAGTTCATGGGTCGGGTTAGATTGGTTTACTAGTGTTTTTTCAATTGATTCGATTTGATTGGTTTACCTAGAAATAAAACCGAAACCGACCCAATACTAAGTAAAATCGATTTAGTCGATTTGAATCGTTTGGATCGGTTTTGTAAATGATTTTTTTGGTGTGAACGGTAAAGGATTCAAATCTAAGAAAGCAAAGGTTGGATGTCTGGAAATTAAAAATAATTTGATGAATTAAAACTGATATTTTATATATCAGAAATTTTATATACAATATGTATATTTCTGAAATAAAGTTGAAATATATATTAAAACTGAAATATATCAAATATATATATATATATATATATATATATCTAAGTCGGTTCAGGTCGGTTCAGTTTCGGTTTTCATACACAAAACCGAAACCAAACCAAACCATCGGTTTATGGTTTTTTGTAACCCGAAACCAATCAGTGCTGAAGAAAAACTGGCCAACTCGGGTTGGATCGGACCAGGTTGGTCGATTTGGTCGGTTTGGGTCTTGTTATGAACAGCCCTAGTTGGAAGCGAGGTGGTCACCCATAGGACCACCAAACCGTCCATATGTACAGCTGACGAGCTTCACTACACCTGAGTTCAAATCAGCCCCCCACAACATCCCACAGCATATCCCCGCCATGTATTGGGAACATCTCCCGATGATAGTATCAAAAATGATGAGACATCATCGAAAGATGTTCCCAATACACAACGGGGATGAGCTGTGGGGCGTGGTGGAAAATTATCTTGTGGGGGGCTGATTTCAACTCCACTACACCACTACCCCAAACCCTGAGTGGAAGCTCGCTCTCTTGGCGCTACATTCCTTCACCCAAAGTCAGTCTTGTCATTGCTTCGATTCCTTTAGGTTTTGTTTGTTTGTAATATAAGTGCGAACCGGGGTATTTATGTACCTCGATTTGTGTTTGTTTGATATGTAAAAGTAATGATTATCAAAAATGTATTTTGTGACACTTTTGTACTCTGAGAAGAGAGCATTATTGTATATTTTTTTTGGATACCAAAGAAGATAGTTGGAGAATTTAATGATGGATCCACACTTTGCACTGATTTCAAACAAACAAGATGAGTGCAAAAAAGTTTTAAAATGTGAACCATATTTGCATTCATAAACAGAAAAAAGGGTAAATATGTAGTGTATATATTTGTGTTTGGATTGCAACCAAACACAGCCTTAACATTTTCTATTTCGTATTTTCGTAGTACTTTTGTTTTGATTCTGGAATTTTTGGTTTGTGTTCGTCAATAGGCACCTCCAAGAAATCACCCCTCGTTGCTTTTGTCTGGGGTGGGGACTAATGCCATTGGATATGATCTCTCTCCTAAGCTAAATTTATTCCGTTGATTATACAATATTATTGTTTTTATAAATAACTTTCTTTTTTATCGCATTGAAAAAAAAAAATAAACGCACTTTCACCGTTTCAAATTGGGTGTCTCTCCAACCTTTTTCAAATGTGCAGCCATATCCTTCTTCATCCTTAATAAAACAATTGGTGTTTTTTAACGAGTGTTGCTTATTTAAAAAAAGAAAGATTCAGTTGTTGCTCTATTCACCTGTTTAGTGTCAAGATAGAAGAACAGTGTCTTCTTTTGAATGGTAGCAGGGACCAACTTGACACTTTTTAAAAGTTTAGATATTACAGTCACATATTTGAAAGTTTGGGTACTAACGTAATACCAACTTTATTTTCTATTCCGATCCAACATAAACGGGTAACAAATTGGGCATTACTTATGTAACCCAATCCATGAGATACACATTTCAAAAATCAAAAATCCAACGGAATCCTATGGTCTATCCATCTAATTTCAAATTTTGCCAAACTCTTGTAATTGGCAGCTTTTCTTCTTTCTCCATGTCAATGGGTAAGCGGGGTTTGGCTTTGATTCAAAGGGATTTGGCATCAACGAATTTTGCTAAACTTTAAAATGTGTCTATCCGTATAGTTTTCCAAAGCCGAGAACCTTGGCTTATTAAAGGGTATCCGCTACTGCTTTACAGATGGTTCAATCTAGTTTACTAACCTTGGCATAACCATAAGAATATTGGGAGTCCTCCCAGAAAAAAATGTCCTGGGATTGGGGAGAAAAAAATGCTTAGCATAGCGGGAGAACCGGTGAAGGATACAAAAAAGCAAGAAGATGAAGATAGTAAGAACCAATGTGGAATCGAGTTTTCAGCATCAGAACCAGAATTAAAGTGGGTAATCCTTTAACAAAAGAAAGGAGTTGCTCTAGTGTTACTGATAGCCAAGTGTTAGAGGAGTTAACTAGGAGTTTAGGGTGCCAGTCAATGAAAGGACTGTATAGTTCAAATCTGAGAGCGGAGGTGGATAGAGACCTTTTCAAATTCATCAATAGAAAGGAAAACACAGATGAACTTGAAGAAATTCAGCATCTGAATCTTCAAGGAAAACTCTGATGGGACCAAAGTTTCAAACTCAATGTGGTAGACCTGATGGAGAAGAAGATGCCCACTCACCAAAAAGGCTAGAATACAGGCAATATTTCCGACAAGTGAAAAGCCAGACACATAGAAGACTCTTCCAAGAGGAAAGTAGCCTAAATCCGAGTTTCTGCAACCTCCTTTCTAGAGAAAGAGAATTTTGGGTGATAATCTCGTCAGAGAAGGGACACCATCAGTACATGAATCACGAGACAGGTGTCACCGAAAGTCTAGGTATGAACCAAAGTGAAGTACAAAGAAACAAAAGGTTACGGTTATAGATTCGGATGAAGGGGAAGATATAGAAAATCTGGTGAGGAAAAATAAAGGGAAAGATATTGCCAGGGGAGGAGGACATGACAGGAAGTTTAATGAAGAATGGATAAGCGGAAGGAAAAGGCCAAAAGGTATAGTAATCGAAGGAATTCAATAAGCATGATTTGAAATACAATGTTGTATCTGTTAATCTTAGTTATCATTGCCCAAATATGTTGAGAACTCAGATGGAAAGAATACTAAACAAGAGTCCAAAGTATAAAACTAGTATAAATTTTAGAGTAATGTTAAAAAATGAGGAAAATGGAGGAATATAGTGTGTGTGTGTGTGTAAAGAAAAGAAGGAAAAAAGCGGAGAGGAAATATGGGCTTTTGAAATAATTTTGGAATAAAAGGGGAAAGTAAAATAATAAAAAAGGAGTGAAAAATTCAGCCCTTGTCTCTAATAAAAATAGGAAAAGAAAATATTTGAATTTTTGGCCTTTATACAGTGCTAGTCAAAACAACACCATACCAATCTACCCAATTCAAAATAAGTGGGTTCAGGGTCCTAACCCGTATTAGGGCACAGGTGCCAAATAAGGCTTATGGGCTGGGACTATCAAGGGATTGGGTCCTCCCTGACAGTTCAGGCCCTGAGAGAGACCCTCAACAAAGAAAAAATTGATGCCCTTTTTCTTATGGAAACCAAAAATGAATTTAATAAATTGTAGTAAGACCTTAAGGAATCTGAGATCCTGGAGTTGTTGGAGAGTGGATTCTAAAGGATTAAGTGGAGGTCTTGCTCTTTTTTAAAATCCGGATTTTAGAATGGATATTCTTTATGCTGATGAAAACTTCATACATGTAAGAGTGGAAGATGAGGCCACAAGGAAATGGTGTTGCCCATTTATTCATAGAGAGAAAAAAATGAGAAGAGAGATATTTTTTTGTTGAAATGGAAAAGAATTGTAGAAAAAACAAAGGAACCATGGTTGTGTATGGGAGACTTGAATTTAATATTTTATCAAAATGAAAATGAAGGAGGGAGAATAAGCAACCAAACAAATTTACAAAGAAACAGAAATTTCCTATTGGATTGCAGGCTACAAAAATTAGTTTGTCATGGGCCTTGGTTTACATGGTTATACAAAAGGGAAGGAACCAATCTGATTAGAGCAAAATTAAATAGAGCTCTATGCAGTAAGGAGTGGGGGGATATGTTTGAAGAAGCATCAAATAGAGTGGTGTACACTTTAGGATTAGATCATTTGCCAATCATAGTTAGTACTGACAGAGAAGCAAAATGGAGAAAAAGGCCCTTGAGTTTTGAAGAAATGTGGTTAAAACATGACCAGTGTGAAGGGTGATAAAGAACAATTGGGCAAAATTTTTCCAAGGATCTTTCTAGTTCCAATTATGTCAAAAAAACGAAAGAAAAATACAACTAATTTCATTAATTGGAACCGAAAGGTCTTTGGAAACA